TGCTAATCTGTTATTAAATTGGTTATATTATTATTTTTTTTTACCTGAATGCATTAATTATTTTAATGCTAAATGAAATTTCTTCTTCACTGCCAATCAATCTTTGGAGTTATAATCACTTCATTATCGATAATAACTGGATAAATCCCCTTAAATTAAAAATTTCTGAAAAGGTGAAAGCGAGCTTCTAAATATTCGTGGATATAACTAAACCAATCAAACAAAACAAACAAATTTTTACAGCTTTCATGATCGATCGTTTTCATCAAATTATAGCTTTTTAAAATGCATGTTTTATTTCGAGACTTACAAAAAGATAAAAAAATAAGAATGATAAGAGCTGATATTAATTCGTTCGCCATACTTGTCAAGTGGCTTTAATAGTTCCAAGATGATCTTCATCATGGCTCCGAAAACTGAAAAAAAGTTTTTGAGAATATTTCAAGCAAAATTTGCGAAGGCGAAACTGTGATTGGAGCACCTTCTTTTTCTAAGAGCTCTCACCATTACTGGTTAGGCTGGCTCCAACGACTACAAGGGTAAAATTCTTCCAATCTGATGCTATCGTCGACAGTAATAGAAGCCATTCCTTTTTCCATCGTCTAAGTCCATATACTGCTGGTCCACCTATACGTTCAAAATCTTTCTGATAGTATCAGGTCCTCTAAGTCTTAACTGGCCCACCTCGCTTTTTGACGCCAACCATCACACGGCGGATTCGCAAATAAGCGAAATATGCGTCAATATGTGTCCTGTGGTGGACGACGTAGAACGTGCCCTAATCAGCGAAGGCGACAACATTACTAATGTATCTCAACAAAGGTGAATGCGATCATTTGATGTTTTATCCACACAACGGATCCATAAAATGTACTTTAGATAACAGTGGTCAAAGGCAGATAATTTCTTAATATCCTTCATCCTTATTGTCTCAGAGCCATATAACAATGAACCATAGCTATATAGATGCGGACTTTTATTTTAATGGTAATTTCACGACGGCTCCATAAAGGACTTTTCGTCAAATATTTTTGGCTGCCGTGATCTCCGTTATGATATCGTCTTTTGCCTTGCTATTTGGTACTAGAATGGACCCAAAGTATTTGAAATCGGGCACTTTCTCGACCGGGAATGAATTTACAAAAAGAGGCATTTTATCAGCTTCTTGCACATAAGCACATAAGACGAAAAGACTCGTTTTATTTACATTGATCCTGAGTCCGATTCTCTGCAGTTGCTGACACGTCATTTAGCATTATTTGCATTTCATCACAACTGTCAGCAAAAAGTACAATATCATCAGCGTATTCAAGATCTGTCATACGATGCTCTGGACTAATTTGCACACCTATTTAGTGCTAACTAGTGGTGTCCATTATCCAGTCTATCGCATAGTTGAATACTGGGAAAGCCCTGACGGACACCAGTTTTTATTTCGAAAGAATCTGTCAGCTCCCCATATACAGACTGCGTCGACGTGCGCTCATAAATTGCCTTTATGAGTCGAACACTGTTACGTTCCATCACCTTGATTGGAGCACCAATCGTTGTTAATTCATAATCCAAAAATGGATCTAAAATTTTCATGATAATGGTAAGTAAATATTCGCCTAACGCCATCATATCTCTTTCTGAAGCATTTTATTATTTCATATTTGTTTCCTATTATTTATTTGCTATTAACTTGATTCAGTTATTGAATAAGGATAAGAGATAAAAATATGATACGATACTTACAATAGAATACCTCTATTTCATGGAGAGATGCTAATCTTGTAAAGATGTTGTGAGATAAAGGGAAGGAAGAAGGGAGAAGGGAGAAGGAGAAGAGAGTTAGAAAAATTTAAATTCATCAAAACAATTCACAATTCATCAAAACTTTGTAAATTTTTATTTCACATAGTTCACTTATTTCACATTTAGAATAAAAATATTCTTGGTGTTTGGCGATATTTCCAATAAATATATTAATCTTAAAATAAATGCGGAAAGTATGATATTACTTTTAGTGATACGTACGAAAGAAAATGTTTCTTCTTAAAAACTAAATATCAAGATCATATCAAAATGTTTATAAACACTTTTGCGAATTAAGCTAGCTCACTTTGAACCTTGTTAATATATCTAATAAATATCTAATAAACAAAAAAACAAAAATTTCGCTCAAAATTTGAGCCTCGCTACCAAAAGCTATGCGCCACTTCAACATAAATCTTTTCAAACACTTATAATAATATAACACAAAGGATATCAAACGCTAAGCAATTACCATTCACCCACTCTAATTCTGCTTAATCACTCGATGTTACTTTTTTTAAACTTTCATCTACGGTTTTTAATGAAGATTCAACAAAACCAAATACCGAATCCACCGAATAATTCCAAGATGAACCAATAGTTTTGTGCATATCATCACCAGAAGGTAACTGTAATTTGATCACAATAAAATTCTAGAGACAACTATCATTATTATTTGACAAATATTGTTTGAATTTGTATTATAATTTTCAATTAATGCAAATAATACAAAAACGCAATTGTTAAAAAGCCGACAATATTCTATGCAGCCATCAAAACTTTTGACAACAAATCACTTAACGATAATTTGACATATAACAATTAACAATTAATTAACAATTTTATTTTTGGTAACGTTTATACCACCAGTTATCCTAGATCTACTCAATAAGTAACACATATTAAATATATAATAGGGCAAGAATGATCGAGTGGCATGGTTACATCGATTCCTTACCTTTTTTCTACAAGTGACACCTGGAAAAAATTTCTAGCCTAACCTTACGCTATGTTCATCACTGGAATCACTGGAAGTGATGTATCTCGCTGCTTGCTACGTGAAGAAACGAATCAAAAACAAATCAAAAAATGGATTCAAACAAATAGAAAACCCTGCGATACATGGGACTGTACAAAATCTTGCGGAAATTTTGCGGAATCTTACGGCCTAAGCCAAATATGATGAATTTTGAAATGAATGAAATTTTGAATTTCTGTTTTGAGATTGGCTGTTAATAACCAGCGAAATAACCAGCGGAATTAGCCTAACCACTATCATATTTAATATTCTATATATTGCTGCATTGTAACATAGTTTATATGCTACACTTTTTACACTTTTTTCTTTCAACATATCATTATTAGTTGGATGGCTCCATTGCTCATAAGCTATCTTCATAGATTTACACAACGACAACACTGTGCTACGAATACGAATAAGTATCCTGAATATAAAGCCAGTTCAATGCAACCATCTAAAACTATTAATTAACAAGGCAACAATAAGCAGCTCGGATGTGAAATAGATGTGAAATGATCGCAGGATAATGATGGCAATTCCATCAAGTCTCGATGAAGAATTCTTTGAGACTAAACCTAAGATGAACTTTCCAGAATTTCGGAAATGACTGAAACGCATTTGCAGCTGTCTGATTGCAAATGAGAACTATAAAGTATGAAATAATTTCGCGATTCCGCTTAAGACCAATAAAAAAGAACCCTCCAGCTGAGATCTTAAAATATCGCCCGGCATTTCTCACAACTCATATGTAAAAGCTCTGTATCTCTGGTATGGAACAAAAATTACTGAAATATTGCTCCATGATTTCCAAGAAAGACCGAGAGACGACAACTGCTATAACCGAGGAATTAGATTAGTAGATATTTCTTAGATTTTTCCTTCTTTGCAAGATAGCCTCGCACCACTTAGCACGATAGCAGGAACGCCTAATCAAGTTGCATTTAGATCAAGACATGGTTATACAGATGGTTATGGAGATCAAATTTTTACAATGAAAGACTATTTATATAACGCTTCGGTATCGGCAACTATCGTTATTATAAAAGAGAGGGAGGTAAATCTCCATAACTTTGCCAAAAATTAATGCATAAATGTTATGATAGCCGATTCAATCTTTGGCATACATCAAATCTCTCCTCCATAATTTTCAACTGTTAAATTTCAAACACTGCTTGCCGTCAATCCTGCTGTCTTTTGCTGTCTAATAAACCTAATTTAGAAAACATTTCATGACCAAAAAGTGAGTAGGATCATATGTGTCATTGCAATTCGATTAGATTATATATTGGATTGCTATTAAAACATTTTTATATTAAATCGTCATTACTACTTCAATTACATTACTCTTACATTATTCTTTCTGATTTAATGCAACTACTCAGAAACTAAATATATTAATATGATTTCGCTGACAGACCGAGTGGCGATAACAGCAAAAATCAGTGTAAAGAGTTCTTTACTGATAAGATCGCAATAAATTCATCCACAGAGCTAAACCTGTATAAAAACCCGCTTGATGCTGGTGATTCACCTATATTTCCATCGCCAAGGGATTTCCTGGCATATTGCCTCAAAAGTGACAAGCCAGTGGAGCGAGTTCAAAGTTCAATTAGTAATGGTGAGGACTCTTTAAAAAAAAATATTTCGAAATCATAAAAATGACACAGATGAAATATCGCTCGAACAGCTAAAGGTATTTTCACTTGTGAAAATTTAGGAATTGCTGCGAGTCAAGCTCGAAAATTCGCATTTATCCATCTGCACTATGTGTAGTGACAATTGAGAGTGGAAGATGACATTCCACTATGAACATTTCTAAGATTCGTCCGATTAGTCACCAGGCGGAGAATCCCATATATCTATATCTATATCATCGGCTGATTACGTTGTGTTCTTCCTCGTGCATCACTGTAATTGATCTCATTGCTTGCTACGTGAAAAAACGAACAAAAAATAAGGGAGACCAATCAAAAAATTGGACTGAGACGGTCTCGTAATATTTGGAATTGATTAGATTGATTGTGCAAAAAATTCATATCCTCTTATTTTCTTATTTTCTTATCCTGTCGCCATTCTCCAGTGGAGCCAAATCTTCCAGATCCCCAGCCAAATAAACAGTGGTGCTATTAGAAGTTCTCTTGCAAGGACGAGGTTACATGTTGCATAATTGATATCAGGATTTCTACAAATCAAACTAGATGAAATGATTTATTAATAAAAATTTTCCACTCGATAATCAAACTAAATCTAATCTTAAGTATGCTTCCTTCTGAAAAACAATAAAACAAAGCGCTTGAACTGAAAAGTTTTTTTGAACTTATAAGCCTTACTTTTTGTGGATATACAATTGTGCCAGGAATAATTCGCTCTTTTAGTTGCTCACATAAGTTCGCTCCTTTTTCTGTACTCAATGACCATATATCGTTATCAAGTGACACTTTAACAGCAAAAACCACTACTCCAACTTTTGCTCCAACTCTAAAGGAAGAAAATTCGCAAAATTCCAGAATTTGGCGAAAGAAACTAACCAACGAAATAAGATATCTTTAAATGCAACGATTTTTTCCATTATTAAATTGGTTGATTTTTAACAAATTAAACCAGTTTTTAGCAAATTCTTTTAATTTCTTAAGATTTAATTACTAAGAATTACGAATAATTATTGAATTATAATTAATTATTGATTAATTATTAACAAAGAATAGAAGAGATTCACCTGATAAGTTTCAACAAAATTGCCATACTAAACGAGTTCAACCAATACAATCAAAACAGTGAATTTTTTTGAACTGACCCGAATGATAATTGCCTGAAATCGCATTTATTGGCTGACGTTCAACTTTAATATCCTTGGTAAAAGCCATCAACATGTACACATAACCCCGCAAGCCGGACATCCCAACCTTAACCCACTCATTCAGTAACCGTTTGATAATTCTTTTCCATAATAAATTAGTGATAGATCAAAATTCTTTAGAAAGAACCTGTACCTACCAAACACCGCCCATCTGCTTCAAATTGTAAACCTCTCTATTGAATCTCGTCCGTATGACAGATTTGGAGCGAAAAAATGATATGTTCAGTTGCCAATTGGCATTAAAATGGAAATAAGCTAAAATTGATATCAGTAACTCGATGCATAACTGATCGAAATCAGATCAAATAAGGGACTTAGTGATATGCAGTCAACCAAATCAACAATCGTAGGAACTTCTAAAAGATGAAAAAAATCCACTATTGAACATTTATTTTGCTCAGAATATTTTAAGAAAACAAAAAATTAAATCATGCATACCAGAATATTTCGCAAAATATAAGGCAAAATCTAGAAATAAAACGAATAAATTCACATTGCAAATAAATCAAAAAAAATATTCCAATACTAGTTCTGGAAAAAAGGCAAATTTGATCAACTTATAAATTTTAGTAAAGCTAACTAGAAAAAATCCATGTGATTCCATAGTTCTAGCTAAACTTCCCTGGAAAAACCAAAAATGGTTTGCCCTAAATATAAATTCTACATAAAAACAACAAATTAACAGCAAAATAAATAACAGAAAATAAAATAAAATAACAAAATAACACAAAGAAAAAAACCATAGCAATAAATAATATCTCAAATAAAGAAATAAGAATAATAAGGGAAATTAAGTAACTTCTTTCGTATAATTCAACTGTTGAGTCAAAACTGCTGAAAAAAAGTCAATTTGTTCACAAACATACCGACCATATTTATGGTTGCTGTATTTCGACACATTATTCATTGATCTGCAAATGAATAAATCAAAATCTTGCAAAACTGCACCAAGTTCTTTTAAGCCGTTGAGATAATCTTCCAAATCTCTTACAAATGTCTTAGAAATTAACGGCAAAAACTTAAAAACTTCTCCCGAAAAGTAAAAAACAAATTTATGCGAGAAAAAATACGAAATAAAATGTGAAAAATTTATCAAATAACTGAAAACAGAATTTATATGACTTAATGGGAACAAAAATTGAAATGAAATTATAATCAGTCATAATCCTAATCATACCTAATCAATAATTTCGCCATTTCACATTTTATTGCCATAATTGTTTTATACTCGACTATATTATGTATCATAGTAGTCAGAACATTCCGTGTATGTATCCAAAATCGATTGTACTCATTTATTTTCAAGAATTTTGTAAGCCATACATAAATTGTGTTACTAATATATTGGCTTAATAATTCATCGCATCCCTGTAAACAATACAAAAAAATAATATATAGGCCACCTGAGAAACATTTAATTCAGATTTGAAAAGAAAACTGCTGAGGAGTATACTTCAATTTTTTTAATAACAGCATACTGTTGCAATTTTAACAAATTAATCGCGAAAGTATTGATTAAAGAAAATGCAGCCAATGGCCTCTTATGACAAGTTGTCTGGAGCAGAGAATCGTTTAGGTAAAAGAAACCATCCTCCAGAAAATTCATAAGTTCTGCTATTGTCAGCCTACCACTTCCGAGTTCTCTGTAATAAGAGAAAAGGAAAAAAAAAGTATAAGTGAATTTGAAATTCTTGACCATAATTAATAATGAATAATGAATAATAACATTTAAATTAATGAATTCAACCATACTTAAAAATAGAATAAAGGCGTTTAAGCCTCATTTCCCATTCTATGACAACATTTCGTCTTTTATAATTCCTTGTTTTAGCATAATTTGTGCGCATAATATTCGATGTACCTAATGACTGAAAAATCAAATCTATCAATCTATTAAATTTATTAACTATTAATATTAATAAATCTATTAAAACCTACCCGAGATACTGCAAATCAAGTAAAATAATTGAAGAATTCCAGAAATATTTTATATATCGCATCGCATCTCTCCTAATAATCTTAATCTTAATCATAACATTAATAATAAATTAATCATAAAAGACGACTTCAAAAATACCTGGATTCCCACTTAATTCGTCGAATTAAACAAGGTTTGATTTATATTTATAAAATTTTATATGTTATGTTAAATTAGATTGTTCAAAATATTATAATTTTAGGTTATTTTAGATCAATTTGAATCCAACAAAATCTAATGGGCTAACATTATTAAAACCTATGTGCAAAACTAAACAAAAGACTCATACTTTTTTATTCGTATTACTGGAATAAATTAGCGAACGATACAGCTTGTGCATCATCCTTAGCTATCTTTAAAAAAAGATCAGATAATATCATTTACAATTTAAAAAGTACATATCATGCAGGAAGTTTGAGATCTTGATTTTTACCATTTGATACATTCATTTCGAGTTATACTATTTTGTACCTCCTCCTTATTTCCTCCTTATTTTATTAATTTTTCTCATATTTTCTTTTTTACCTTCATTTTTCATTATTTGTTACTTTAACTATTATTATTAATACATGCACATGGCGCTTGGACCCTCCTTGGTTGGTTTTCCATAAATAAATATTAATCTAATAAATCTATTAACCACAGAAAGTTATATATATATATATATTTCCGGAATCTATTATTCCTCAGCCAGTGAATAAATAAAACTAAATATCCCATTTTCCTTTCGTTTCGCAGATTAAAGAGCCAAAGGCTAAATATGCAGGAGGAAAGTTAAAGAGAAATAAAAATAGTTAAAGTTACCAAATAATTTTGACTGTCATCAATTTGCGACATTATAGAAGTATTATGTAATAATATCTGCGGATTCACCACGTTTTTCACGATTTCTGTATCCCCACTTCTGAAATATAAGTAAGCATTTATAGATATAATCTCTATAATATCTATACCTACTTATTATTAAGTTTCTTACTTTATACATTTCCTGTAATGTATGATTGTTTCCATAATTTTGCATTGTTAAATAATGTTTAAATCTATTGTTACAAAATAGCGTTATCAACTGCGAAAGTTTATCTCTAATCTTGTGTGTCTTATATGTCTAACATTCCACTTCAGCCCACAAAAGTGCTCTAACCGAACTCTAACAGTGGTTCTTGAAGTTCTCACAAGTCCACAGTTATTTTCTAATAAATTATTTGTTATTTTCAAGATTTAATACAAATATTAAAAAACTTTTTAGCTTTAATTTCTAATCTAAAGTCGATAGTTAATGATGTCAAATTATTAAAAATAACTGCATTATAATTGAAAAAGTGAAATAAACTTGATTTGAGCAGTTTTTTTAATCGCATGTTGGTCCGTAAAAGACGCCTGAAATATTCATTTATATATTTACAAGAAAACGTATCAACATCTGCAAAAAAGGCAGGGCAAGTAACTTCTTAACTTTAAGTAGCCAAAATTCTTACTTATCGCTTGATTTCATCCGATAGAAATCTTATTGTTGACCATTTGGAATTATTAATTTCAATCATTTATAAAAAAAGATAAAGAAAAAATTATGTGAGAACCTTAAGGGGAATGGCGTTGATTAACTGAGTGCGAACTGAGCGACTATGACAAATGGGCGAGCGCATATTTTATAGCGAACGCGTAGAACACGTATTCGATATTAACTCGCTGGTTTAGATCAGGGAACGAAAAAAATCACGAAATGAGACCTGTTTTTTGAATAATTTCCTGCTACAAGCGACAGCCATTGCTAACTGAACGTCGAGGTCAACGCGATCCATCTTTTTCCATTGAATTTCACTTCCAGTTTCCTTCATTACGTCCATTTTCTCGTCAAAAAATCACTCCCAATAATGAGCGACAAAGATTTCAAAAAAAACTAAACCAGTGCCTCAGTGCGATTTCTATTTATCAGCTTCAGACGAGTTCCTAATCTCCAGTGCAAATTTCTTCAACAAATAAAAGCAGATCGCATAGCGTAAGGTGGTCCAGTTAGGTGAAAATATTTTGGGTTTCCTTCAAGTCGAAGAAATATGGCACTTATTCGCAATTTGTCAGATTATGCGACATTTCGAGGTTATTTTTGCTCGTTCGTCTTGTTCTCCTCTTTCGCTTCAAGGATTCAGTCAATCAAGCACGGAGTTCATTAAGAAAGTTTTAAGCCAGCAAATTCTGCAGGGAAGTTTGTGAGAATTCTTGGTCCAAATATCTATTTCGCAATCCATAACAATGCATAACTATAATACAATATATGAGAGACAAATTATATTGCTCATGAAATCTTCTTTTTCCAACAGTTCTCATCATTACTGTTTAGGCTGGCTCTCCAAGCTGCTCGGTCCTCATGACCTCAAGACTTGGACAGATATGGCCATCGCTAATAGTAAGAAGCCATTCATTCCTTTTTCCATCGTCTAAACTCATATATCGCTAGTCCTATACGTTCAAAATCTTTCTTGGCTATATCTGTCCAAGTCTTGAGGGTCATGAAATTTGACAATAATCTATGTAATCAAACAAAGGTAATAGGCCATAAATCACAAAAGGATATAATGAAAATGTGGAGGACTTCGTCCACGACATTCCGATTAGAAAATTTTTTCCTTTACCTTTCAGTATGTGTCGTGTCCCCAGCAGATTTTATTGACCATAAATTTGTGGATTATAGAGATAAGGAATTTACAGAAACTTCACTTCCTTCCTTGGAGATTCGCGTTTACAGTATACTAAAAATGAGTAATAAAAAATCGTTGGTCACGAAACGATTTCATGATTACTGTTGAAACGAATCGTGGGCGCTTTTTATTGTCGTTTGTTTGGTGAGTGGTTTTGGTCGATTTGTTTAACGTTTTACATTGCATTTTTTTTGCGAATTTTTTCTATTCGGGTGTTCCACAAAATTTTTTATATTTTGAGAACTTTTCTTGCAATTATTTATTAATTATAATCATCCATCACCGATATTTATTGAATTCTAAATTTTATAAATTTTTTTCACTAAAATTTTTTTTTTATTCTAAGATTTTTTAAATTTAAATTTAAATTTTAAGGTTTTTAAATATTTATCATTTTTCTTCTTTTAATCATTTTATTCTTTGTTCTAAATTTTTTGGAAGAGTTATAGAGAAGTTTTTTTGAATTTTTCAAAAACTTTTATTAAGGAAACTATTTAAAAAGAAATCGTCGTTCAGAAATTTGAGTTGTGAAAATTGGAGAAGTTTTGGCAAAAGCAACTGATAGCTGATTGCTCCACAGGTTTGTTGTTTTTCATCGAACTATGAGAGGTTTTTTTGGTTATGTAGGAAAATTATTGCAGCTTTTTTTGTTTGGTCGCGTAGGATCATTTAAAGTTTCGATTCCTATCCGCTGCTTTGTCATTAAAAATGAATAAAATAAGCAAAGATATGAAATCTGAGTAGGGGACCCACCTGCATTTCTATTCAAATTTCGTTCTCAAATGATTCTCTGGTTAAAGGACCCTAGTTGTCAAATGAGACTGACCAAGCTGAGAACAGTGAGTTAGTAGAAAAAATAAAAAAAAAATTTTTGGGCAACCTAATTAATTTATATCTTCATTTTTAATCAGTAATTACTAGTTACTTATTTAAATAAGTATTTTTCGAAATAACAGAAACGAAATTTTTCGAAATAACAGAAACGAAAATAATATTAATTTCCGTTGAAATAGAAACTTGATTGAATGGAAAATACGAGAATTTGTGTAATACTGCTATTTGATGTTTCATGATGACTTGTTTTATTTCTGATTTTTTAAAAAATTTGGACTATTTTTTAGAATACTTTTCAGGTGTTTTTTCAGGACAGATCAGTAGGTGATTAGTAACAAATTTCTGAAACAGTGACTCATGGCAAAGACTTATGATTATTTATTTAAGGTCAGTTATTTTATATAAAAATTATACTAAACTGTAAAATTATAAAAGCAATTTTAAAGGTAAAAAATTGGCAAAAAACACAATTTCGGATTTAATTATCCGATTCCTTTTAAAGTAGTTTTGAATACATTTTACATTTTAAGCATTTTATTAAAAATTTTTAATCGAACATTTTAGTTTTATAGCATACATAAAAGAAGTCTTTATTAAGTATACACACACTTTAATTAAGACAAATTCTACACTTTTTGTTTCGATTCATTCTTCAAATCGTTTTATTTTTTGGCAAATAATAAAAGAATTTTTTCAAGTTGGTGATTGTAATTATTTTAATTAATGCAAAAAGTTTGTTATTTCGATCAGTCTTCAACTTTTTTAATTCATAAATATGATTTCCGGAATATGAAAAAAACAATTTGGATAATTTTGTTTTTTCTTGAATTTTTGTTATTTTCAATTTGTTAGAATTTGCTGGTTTTAAGGTATTAAGATATTTCATATTAAAAGTTAAAGTTGAATAACTTTGTAGCTTCAGAATCATTTAAATCATTTAATTTAATTCATTCAATTCAATTATTAAAAAACACAAAAAATTTCAAAGTCAGCTTATTCTTCCACTGTTGTTAATATATTCTGAAAGTGGTAAAAATAGCCGCAATATTGAAATATAATTGGTTTGTGATAAATGATTATGATATGATTTTTGATATTGATATTATGAGTTTTTTTCTAGTTACTTTTAATTGGTGATTCGGGAGTTGGAAAAACTTGTGTAATTTTTCGATTCTCAGATGATTCCTTTAATAATTCGTTCATTTCCACAATTGGTTTGTTTGTTTATTTTTTAATCTTGTCTTTGAAATTTGTCTTTGTACTGAAATTTAAAATTTAAAATTTCAAAAAATTGGCCTTTGTTTTGCCCTTTTTTATCAAATTTGTAGTAGTAATTAGTAAAATACGTACTTTTAATACTTTTATGTTTATTGGAAAATTATTATTGCATTCGATTCGGTTCATTTTTATTTTCGGAAAAAGATTTTAAGTTCCTACCATGGAATTAGGTTTACTTATGAAGATTTTTTTGCGCTCATTTGATTAAGGTGGTCATTTTTTCTAGATTTTACTTGTTTTGAAATTTTTTTAGGCATTGATTTTAAAATTCGAACGATTGAATTAGATGGAAAGAAGATCAAATTACAAATATGGTATGAATTAAAAACTTGTTTTTTATTTTTTAAAGCTGACGAAATTGAGGGAAAATGTTTTCCGATGCTATGATTAAGAATATAACACATAAATCGACTCATTAATTTCATATATTTTTGGGGATACTGCTGGGCAAGAACGATTTCGTACAATCACAACAGCTTATTATCGAGGTGCAATGGTTAGTTTATCTTGTTTCAGCGATCCAGGTATTCGAAATTGATTAAGTAGTACTTTTTTGCTGTTATTTTCCTTATATCATCCTTCTACGCATTATACAATCGCATGATTTTTTTGATTTTGTTAATTGCTTTTGAAAATATTCTAATAATGATTAAAACAAATTTATTTTCAGGGTATCATGCTGGTCTATGATATTACTAATGAAAAATCATTTGATAATATAAAAAATTGGGTTCGAAATATTGAAGAACACGCGTCATCAGATGTGGATCGTATGATAATTGGCAATAAATGTGATGCTGAAGAAAAGCGGCAAGTTTCTAGGGAACGAGGAGAACAAGTCTGTTATATACATTGGATTGTTTTTTCGAAATTTATAGAAATATTTCTAAACCTTTATCGAGAATTGTCGAAATAATAGAAAATATTGAGGAAATGAATTATTTGATCTGTTTTCCTTTAGAATAGGCTTCACTTTTACCTTGATTATATTTTTGCTTATTTTATCACTTTTTGAATTCTGAAAAAATTTTATTTTACTTCTAAATTTTTATATAATTATAACTTAAAAACAATTAACTTGCATGCAAAGTTTTTTTTCTAACAGCTTTCACCATTAGACTGGCTTCTACAGAGATAAGACGTTTCCACGTTTTCGATCTGATGCCATCATCGAAAATAGAAGTCATTTCTTTTTGCAACGTCTAATCCCTATATCGCTGACCCATCTCCTATACGTTCAAAATTTTTCAAATTACGTCAAATTATATCAGTATAGTTCTTGTTTGGTCCATCTTACTTTTGAAGCCATCCATCACAAAATTTAATAAGTAACGAAATAAAACAAGATCCAGCGAATCGCAGCTAAATAGATGCGGATTTCCGTTTATAGTGATTTCGCGACGAGTCCATAAAGATTTCATCAATAGGAAGAAAGTATTTCTAGCTATTATCCGGGATGAAATTTCATTTGGCCATTTGAAAGCTGCAGTTTTCGATAAATTTACCTGACATTATTTTCATTTCGTCATAATTGCCAGCAAGAAGGACTACATCTTCAGCGTATTCAAGATCTGCGATACTATAATGCTCTGAAGTGATTTGTACATCATTTGTGCAGACAAATGATGTCCATTATCCAGTCATGGCATAGTTGAATATATTGTAGGGGAAATGTCACAGCCTTTACGGAGACCAGTTGATATTTCGAAAGGATCTGTCAGTTCCCCATATGCGCTAATTTATTCCGATATATGCTGATAAAATACCCTTAAGAATCAAATGATTTCTAGAACATCGTCATGTTCCATCACCCTCCAAAGCTCTATCCATCATTTGAATCGAAGACAGATGTAAAATCGATGAAACTTGCTAATGCTGATACTGATATCCGAAGCGATATTCCAACACCCTTTTTAATGGATATTGTACCACCGGACTGGGAGTATCATGCTCGTCGTAGGACGCAGACACCGTGTCAAAAAGTCTATGTTCTTTCACCATAGAATCACTTGGGTTTGTAGGTGGGTCCACGGCTAGCACTAAACCTTTATCGAGAATTGTCGAAATAATAGAATGAGAAAATGAATTTGATTTGTCTTCCTTTAGAATGGGCTTCACTTTTACCTTGATTGTATTTCGTTATCATGACAGGTTTACTCCTATTAAAAACAAAGACAAAAAAAGGAAAAAAAAATTAAGAAAGGATGAATAGTAAACTAGATATATATATACATATTAATTTTACAATTTATGTAATTTTGTTGGTTTAAATGTTTAGTCTAAAGATCCCGCGTACTATATCCTGGACACTGTTGAACTTATATCCATATTCACTTATAATTATTTATAATACATTCATATATGATACAATGAAGGGGATAGAATGGCTCAGTGGGTTGTTGCGTAATTGGGAGCGCCGATGCTGAGATTCGATTCCCTACGGGAGTAAACCTGTACAAAAATGCGGGTGATGTTGGCGACTCACCTGTATTTCTATCGCCAAAGTACTCTCTCGCATATTGGTCAATTGCGACAAGCGAGTGGAGTGAGTTTAACCAGTAATGGTGAGGACTCGTAAAAAATGAATTCTGCTTTTTTATTAAAAAGTTATCTGCCTTCGACCACTTATGTCTAAGGTATATTTTAAGGTCTCGCCGAGTGGATAAAATCTCATATAATCGCATCCACCTCCGTTCAAACACCATTTGCATACGTTTGCATTAATAATACCATCATAGAGCGTCCTTCGCTGATTGGGGCACGTTCTCCACAAGAGTTGGCTCATATTTCGTTATTTGCTAAGCCCTGTGATGAGTGGCGTCAAAAGTGAGATGGGCTAATCAAAACCTGGACTGATACGATCAAAAAAAAAACGTAGATGGTGGACCAGCAATATGGACTTAGACAATGGGAAAAAGGAGTGGTTTTTATTATTGTCGACGATTGCACCAGATCGCGAAGCTTGTAGACCTCTTGCTCTCCTAGCCAGCGGAACCAGCTTAACCAGTAAGAAGAAGAGCTGCTAGGAGAAGGCTTTTCTATAGCTAATCCAGGTTGGCCTTTCGAGGTCTTGAATCTATGAGCAATTGTTGTTGAACCTCTAGCGAGTTCCCTTTTGAGCTATAATCATATGCTGGCTCATATGGTCTTGAAGTTTGGTGAGTGTGATGCATGATAAATTCTACGTTTTGTTCGTACTTTATGAAAATCTTTTATGACGGTACCGTCCTTCCTTGTGTTCTGGATGTGTTTCTAGGAATTTCATATACTATTCAGTTTTATTGTATGTCTGTTGCAAGTTCTGTTATATTAATTGGTTCCTGCTGTGGAGCTTGTTGTGGCTTATTCTTATACTCAAATTATGCAGCCATTTCGCATTTGTGTTATGAGCTTTTTTTTCTTCCAATAGGTTCTTCCAGAGTTCCTGAGAATCATTATTTGTTATTATATATATTTATTACTGATGTTCTTATCACTTGGTTTTACTACCATCAGTGCTGATTTTTGGGTCTTGCCTACTGTGATATCTGGTTGATTGGCCAATATTTATTCATCTTTCTAAGTGATCTCAGGATCTTTGCCTTAGTATTTTGTACTATTTTGTGAGGAGTCTCCCATTTAATTTTGGCAGATCTAAACCAATTACCGTGTAAATGTTCCTATATATATATATATTTCAAAATCATCTTCTCGAACATCAACCGTCTCTATATGGTTGACATTAAGTTATTTGCTAAAGGCAGAAGGGGCTGACTCATTCATCTGGTTCGAAATATCGAGGATATTGGAATGTCATTCAGACTGGAAAAATGTGGTCAAAGCATGGCAACAAAAAGAGATTGGAGTGGACCTGCCAACAGGTCATAGTTTGGACAAGTATCTTGGTTTCTCACAAGACAGTTTAAGTACTATCAAAACATCAGAGTACTGTCAAAGAATAAGACAGATCGTCAATGGGAAGAACAAAATGCCACAAACATATAGGCCTTGACATCAGATACTCAACTGGCATAATGAGGCAGTGAGAGGAAGACATGAAGGCTGTCGATGAGAACTCGGAAAAATGTACAAGAATTCTTACGACAAGTACCCAAAATCGGGAAGTACAGAAAAAAAAGAAAATGGATTGAACTTGGTAGAAGTCGCTGTACGGAGCATCATTTAGAAATAGAAAGATGGCACCGAAGAATTAGCTGCGGAGTAAAGCATCAGCAAATAGACATTGGAAAAAAACAAATAGAGAAATCACAGTGGAAAACAAGATCCTCCGTGGGAATTTACCATCGAGATATCTGAGAATCCTATCAGTGTTTGGAAAAAGTTGGACCAAAAAACAGTAAAGCACTAAATCATTGGCATCAACACCGATCAGAGCACCGATGCCAAGCATTAGGAACAGGAATTGTCCGTGAAACAGGAATTACAGATAGAACTCAACTTCCATGATATATATATAGGAATATCTCAATTTATGGCTTAGGCCCTCCCTCCCAAGACTAAATGAAAGATTGTTCAGGAAATTGGGATAAGGGTAGGATTCTTTCATTCTGGTCTTTTTCATCTAGACGGAAAAGTACTGGCTAGTTGATTAGATATTGTAGTAAAGAAGAACCAAAATCAGCACTAATGATTAAATGTAATAATACCAAAAATCAAGAAGGAATATGAGAAGCTAGAGAAATATTTGCGCCTGAAAGAAAAAGTAGTGAAAATGTGGAAAGTGAAAGCAAAAATAATCCCAGCAATAAAAGCATTGGGAAATGTGCTCCTTAAAATAAAAAAGTGACTCCAGGAGCAACTTCAGAGTTTTTGTCCAGAACAGCCAAGATATTGCGCAGAATCGTCATGTATATAGCCACTGATACGGAAGATTCAAGATGATTCACACCAACTACAAAGGGTGAGAAAGGTCTTAATTTTTTCTTGAGCGTCCAATTTCTCCACTGGCTTATAGACAGATTTTGTCAAGGAGGTGGTAGAACTGTAGCCCGTACCATCTGAATTTTTGAAAAATTTATTCTCAGTAGACCGCAGATCTATGCTCCGAAAAACGACTACAACCTTAAACCACTTTACTTTCCAAAATTGCGACCAATTAATAAGTCTACATTTATATATATATATATATATTTTCTTCTAATCGCTCTCATCATTATTGGCTGGCTTAGCTGGCTACAAGGGTAAGACGTCTCCAAGCTGCTCGGTCCGACATCATCGTCGATACTAATAGAAGCCATTCCTTTTTTCATCATCTAAGTTCATACATTGCTGGTACACCTGTACATTCAAAATCTTTCCTGACGGTGTCAGTCGAGGTCTTGATTGGTCCACATTGCTTTTGGCACTCAACATAGGATTTTATCAAATAACGATATATGTGTCAACTCTAGTGGGCGACGAAGATCGTGCCCTAACTAAGCAAACACGACGCAAAGGTTCCGTGATGGCACTGTTAATGATATATGAACGAGGATGCGATCATGTGAGATTTTATCCACTCGTCGTACCCGTAAAATGTACCTTAGATAAGAGTGATCAAAAGCAGATAACTTTTTAATATCGACCACTCTCATTGGCCATATCTTGCAGCCATGTAGCAAGATCAAATCAGCTATGTAGATAGACGTGGTCTTTCTTTTTTATAGTAATTTACCGATTTCTCCATAAAAGTTTTGTCAACTGGAAGAACTTTTCTAGCTGTTGTTATCCGGGTTACAATTTCATCCTTCATCCGACCATTTGGAAATAGAGTGGATCTAAGATATTTAAAATCAGGCACTTGCCAATCGGCAATGAATTGGTTAAAATAAGTGTTTTATCAGCATCTTGTAATCTTGTATATAAGACGAAAATACTTTCGTTTTATTTATTTATTTACATTGATTTTGAGTCTAATTCTAGCTGCAGACGTTGACACTTGTTTAATATTGCTTGCATAACATTAAAACTGTCAGCAAAAAAGAATCAGCGTATTCAGGTTCTGTGATGCTATGCTCTGGACTGATTTGCACACTCCTTGAGTGGTGACAAGGAATGCCCACTTTCCATTCTATCGCATAGTTGAATATTGTAAGGGAAAGGACGCAGCCCTAACGAACACCAGTTTTTATTTCGAAGGACTTTGTCAATTCCTTATAAAGATAGATTTGGGCCAGGATATGCTGATAAAATGCCTTTATGAACCAAATGATTTTCTCTGGGACACCGTCACATTCCATCACTTTCCAGAGCGCTACTTTATCAATCAAATCAAAGCCAGAAAATCGGCAACCCGTAATATGTGGGTTGTAAACACTTGAAGCGACGCTCCAGTACTATTCTAAACGTGAATATCTGGTCAGCACAACTGCGTTCCAATCTAAATCCAGTTTTGTTAGGACTCATCGTTGTCTCGTACTGCCATAAATCTTCTGACTAGAAAGGAATTTTCTCTGAGATGTTAGTAGCTAATTAGTATATTTTAATCAGTATATTTTCTTAGGAATTGGGGTCAGAATTGCTTTGCTCCAGTAATCTGGTATTATTTTTTTCTTCCATACCAGAGAGTACATTTGTTGGAAGCAAGTGATGGAAGGTGGACAACATTTAAAGAATTCATCTAGCAGAGTTTTATTGGCTTTAAACTTCTGGATAACAGATTATTTCCTCTTCTGTTGGTAGTTCGCATTTGTAAATGACTCGATTTTCTGGTCAGCAGATGTTGCGCCCTGGTTTAGCTTGGCCTTAAAAAATTCCTTCAGTTTTACAAGACCTTGTTAATGTTAAGAAGTTCTTATTAGTATCCCGTACCATTTTACTAATCGTCCGGGTTATAGTTGCTTTGTGGAAAAGACAGAGTATTTTCCTGTTATCGCCTAATCGAGCTGCCTCTCCATTCTGAAGACCATATCACAATAACGATTTTTCCGTGCTATTGTTGTGCTTCTGCGAAGCATATGATGATCAGGATCTCCTCACGTTCTTGCTTCGACAATTGTTTCCGAGCGCATTTCCCACTAGTATATCCATATCTTAGTATGAAAGTATTTGACATATGCCTTTAGTTGGTACCAGCATTCATCTATCATTATAAGCATATATTAATAAAAAAAATTCATACTGTTAGGCTAAGTGAAGAAGACATTCTACACTGGCGCGCCGGATCTCGATGCGATAATTTATTGTGGCGGTATCATGACCTATGCAGTCCAGTCTCTCCCGACTATGATCATGTCATCTTTCGGTAAAGATATTGTTAAGAGTTGAAGCTCCGCATAGAACTTATCGTTGTCATCTGCGCATAAAGTTGGAGCGTATACACTGATGATCGAAATATTGCAGAACTTTTCTTTGAAACATGCAAATGCGTAAGCCATAAGGTCATTTACTCAATCATTTCGGATCGAGCTTGGCTTTTTCAGATATGGCAATTTGTTATTTACGCCATTTCGCCCCAAGTTATCCAAAACACCATAGTGATATAGCCAATATGCCAATATCTTCAATTGGAACCAGGTTTAATAATTATTTGAGAGCCGACAATCGACTGATCTCCGACAAACAAGCCACATCCACGCGGTAGTAAGGGTGTAGACAGTGATCGCTCGGCTTGCAACATATATGAGCATTCTGACGTTCCAAATAGCTACAGCCATCACTTTGTTGCGCTTACAAAATGTTAGCGGATAAGTTCTTATTTTTCTTGACGGGTTTTGAGTAATTATTTCGGTTTGCGATTGTTTATATTCTTTCGTGCTTGGAATTATTTTATTATTAATACGCCCGGATCGTATATTTATCGCATGTACCACCGAGTCCGAAATATCATGCATGGACGTCGCATCAAAGAGATGACCCTTTCACTATAGAGTCACTTGGAGATAGGGATAGGGGTGGGTCCCCGGCAACCATATATATATAATATATAAATATATATGAATATTCAATATTTGATTGAGTTTTCTTTTTGAAGCTAGCAATCGAATATGGCACAAAATTTATGGAAACATCGGCAAAGGCGAATATCAATGTCGAAGAAGCATTTTTCACTTTAGCACGTGACATAAAATTAAAAACAGAGCGAGCTACTCATCAGAATACTACACAAAACATTGGCCGAATAAATGTGCAGCAACCGATAAAAAAGAGTGCGTCGTTATTTTCTGGTTGGAAATGTGTATTAATTTAGCCATTCCTATCTCTTATATTCCACTATTTTGGGTGCCATGATTTCACACTGTTAAAAAATGGAGTCTTTCATTTTTCGAATATTTTTAATATTCTCAATCAGCTTCGTCGCAATAATTGGAAAATTTGGGGAGTGACAAAGTGGCAACCGCATTATCATTGATCAGTTATTATTTTGGAATTCATGTAAATTTATTATTAGCTAATGATTTTTATAATTTTTGTTTGAAAAGTAAGTATTTCAAAGTCTATTTTATCGTGATTACCGTGATGTTGCTGCAACTATTCGCTTTCAGTGCCCCGAAAATTGTATTTTTGTATTTTAATATCGGCTAATATTTTATAAATGATAATAGAAGAAAAAAAGATAATAATATAAAATGCATTAGGTTGAAATAGGAAGTCCATTGTCTTTTAAATTTGCTGTATCAGTAATCTATATAAATAAGCCTCTTTTTTCCATATTTGATTTTCAAACAAAAGTTATTCGCTGATTTTTGTGCTGTTAGAAATTTTTGTCAGTGAATGAATTACACGACAATAAAAGTACACGTAAATCGCCAGCACCTCTAGTGTTCTTTAACTGCAGGCTTATTTATGTCGGGACTCGAATCCTTAGCCTCCACCATGATAATCTGAATCGCCCACTCGGCATGTTCCCCTTAATTCTGACAGATGATATGACTGAACTTGAAGAAAAATATTTATATGAAAAATCTAAACATCTGAATTTTTTAAAACGATTGGTTTCTGACCGATTTCTTATTTTATATATTATAATTCTGGCAGGCAATTCGATTTTTTTACTGATAAATATTGTTAAATATCCAAAGAATCACATTCGACATTAATGAATAATTAAAGATTGTCTAATACTTCATTTAATATCTGAATAATCGATGTACCATCAGCTATCCTTAAGCTATCGAGAACCCTCAATGATCTGTCATTACTGCTGGCAAGAATATGTGCATTACAAGATCAGCCAAAAAGCGAAGATAGTTTTAGCTATTAAATTTTCAACATTAACCAAAAGAATTTTAAACATATGAGGTTATACATACGATAATGGCAAATTTTCATCCCGAAATTCCTCTCCAGTAGAAATGCTCACCTTATCTTCTTCATCTAATTTATCTAATAGCTCGCAACAATTACTGGGTATGTTGGCTTCGCCAGGTAAGACGTTTCCAAGCAGTTTGATCAAATGCCATCAACAGCGATAGAAGCCATTTTTTCCACCGTCTAAGTCTATATATTGCTAGTCCACCTATACGTTCGAAATTTTTCCATACTGTATCAGTGCGGGTCTTGATTGGCTATCTCGCTTTGAAGCCATCCATCGCTGGGTACAGCATGTAACGAAATGAGATCGGCGAAGCAAAAAATTATCTGCCGTAATTAGCGGAGGCGATACTGTGTGATGTATTAATTCACATGGTATCTGAGCGAAGGTTGGTGCAATTATGTGAGATTTTTCTGCTCGGACTGAACTTCTAGATCAGAGGCAGATAATTTCTTAATGTCTACCACTCTTATTGGCCTCGCAACCATATTACAAGATCGAACGAATTGCAGCGGACTTTCGTTCTATTGGTGATTTCACGACGGTCCCACGAATGTTTCGCCAACCGAAGAAATTTTCTTAGCTACCGATATGCAGGTGTTATTTCATCTTTTCCTTAGCCTTTTGAGGTTAGAGTGGATCCAAGGTATTTCATTTTTTCAACTGCATTGATGCATTGATAAAAATTTGTATTCTAAGACTTATTTTAATAAACATAATCATGAGTACGACTTTCGCTACAGTTTTTCGACTCAATATTTAGGATTACTTGCACGTCATCATAACTTTCAGCAAAAAGGACCGCGTCGTCAATCGTCAGCTTATTTAAGATCTGTGGTACCATAGATCGACTTGGATACCTCTTGAGTGCCGATAAGCAATGTCCATTATCCAGTTTATTGCATATTGAATATTGTTGGGGAAAAAAAGCAATCTTGACCGACACCAGTTCTTATTTCGAGAGAGTCTATCCCCTATATTCACAGACATTTGTGCCAGGGTATAATATGTCTTTATGAGCCGAATGATCTCTAGGACAAGGTCACCTTCCATCATTTTCCAGAGCGCTACTTTATCAATCAAATCAAAGCCAGCTGCAAGATCGAGAAACACGTAATGTGTGGGTTGTAAACACTTGAAGCGACGTTCCTTCTTAACGTGAATATCTTGTCAGCATAACTGCGTCCCGGTCTAAATCCAGCTTTGTTAGGATTCATCTCGTACTGCCATAAGTTTTCTAACTAGAAGGGAATTTTCTCCGAGATGTCTAAACTAGTAGCTAATTCTTCGGTAGCTATCCTTTAGTCAGTAGATTTAGATTTTTTTAGGAATTGGGATCAAAGTTGCTTTGCCCCAGTCATCTTGTGTTATTTTTTTCTTCCATACCTGATAGTATATTTGTTGGAAGCATATGATAAAAGATAAAAGATGATGGATAATATTTAAAGTGTTTTTCTGTAAGAGTTTTCCTCTTCCGTTCCATATCGCTCCAATAGCGACCCTCCTTGTTGCGATCTTAATTCATCAATTCCTACCAGTATATTTTAGTATGGAAATGACTGACTTCCGAAGAGAGCCTTTAATTTGGACCAGTATTTATTTGTCGTTTGAGAAATATCTTTAATATTTATATTAAGATGATTCAATAATTCAATTTGAAATGATGTTACTTATCGAGTTCTTCGTGGCTGCATCGTGACTTACGCACGCATTCTAGTCTCCTCCAATTATGACCATGTCATCTTTCGGCATTAGCAGTTGAAATTTTTTACATAAAACTTATCCTTTTCGCGAACGTAAACTAGGAGCATACAGATATTCGAAGTATTGAGAATTTTCCTTCGAAGCGGGTATAGGCCAAGATCTAGTATTTTTTCAAACATTGCACCATTTTGTTCTTCAATG